GTGACGTTTGTGAGGTTGTGTGATGACTGTACGACAGGCTAAAACAGGCATCCTGTTTCGGTGTCTGAATGTCATAAACGAAGGACTTTCCTTGTAGAACAGTTATCAGCCTCCTGAGTGTACAGGCTGTTGACTCAGAGTCAGCCAGAGAGAAATGATGTTTCAGGACAGACAGAGAGAAGCTGCATCGAACATCCTGGTCTGATCCATCAGCTGCTGTGTCATTTGACATCTTTGATGTGGACAGATGTTACAGGGACAGAGCAGACTGCCACCTCTGTCTCCTCCAAAATGGAGATGAGCATGTAACGCTTAATAACAAAAGTTTTCTCTCCAGTTTCCATACTGAGTCCCAAATGTTGAAAACATAAGGTGAGGAAAGCACCCCTTCCTGTTCCTCCATGTGGATGAATAGAAAGCCAGAGTTGGCGAGAGCAACAACAGGATCAGAGTACAAAGCAGAACAGGTGTTACTGAGAACAAATACGAGATAGATCAAGTTAAGATTAAGTTAGCAACATTGGGCAAGCTAGAGCAACTTAAATAGTGGCCCCTGTTGGACATTTGGGTATCAGCTGAACAATCGGCTGATGTGGGCCAGCACTGAGATCAGCTGCACAGGACTTCATGATGTGCATGAATGCTCTACCTCTGTTTCTACAAGATAGAAAGAGTTTAAGTTTCAAAAAAAAGATTTATGTTCAAAAGCTGAAGTGAAAGCTGTGTTTGGCTAATTAGTGCATTCAGTCAGAATTAGGTGTCAAACTCAATTCTCAGATGAGAAGCTGAAAACACAACAGGGCTGATGTTGCCCATTAAAAATGCCACATTAACTTAGTACTATTATCTGTTTTCCTACAGAGGAATAATTTCCCTTAGAGAACTGTGAGCTGTATGACCCGATGCCTCGCCTGGGTGATGCTGGATATCAGGGATATATCTGCAGGAGAGTCCTGGAGATGTATCAGGCTGCAAGATCATTTTGCAGATGTACTGAAGACAGCACCTAGGGAGTGGTGT